CCTGGTAACCCTATCTAAGCAGGATGTTTCATACCCACCAATTATTGCTGCACCAAGTTCATTTCCCATGAGCATGTGTTACAATTCATATATATATATATATATTTTTTTTTTTTTACTTGTTATTGTCTATCTTCTCCATTACACTGTAGGTTCCACCAGGGCAAGCAACCATATCTAGGATACAGAAGGCCCTTCATAAATAATTATTGAGTAAGAAAATGGTGAACAGGGATGGCACACAGAGCAAAGAGGGCAGAAGTGCATTAATTCTCTTCACCACCCTATTTATGGGTTGTGGATTTTATATGGCCTCCCTTGTCGTCAAAACATACATTTTAGATCTGGCTCCCTTGCGGTGTATCCAAAAGTGCTAGCATATTTGAGGTTGTGAATATCTCTAATGAGGAGGGCTCAAGTCTGCATGAGTTTGCCTTGTCTCACACCGCATTCGGCACAGCCCCAAGCACAGATGGGCTCTTCATAAATATTACTGAAGAGTAATGCAGGGGATTATTTAATACCTCCACATTGGGTGGAGACAGACCTCGGGCCACAGATAAATACACTTTGAATGTGCTTGACGTCTCAAATCATTTGACCCAAAATGATTCCAGCAACACCGACTCATCTGCACCCACAGATCAGGCACATTCAGAATGACAAAGCCCCCAAAGAATGCCATTTTCCAGGCTGAAACTGTATTATGCCAAGGTAAATGGAATCCTTGTTGTAGTGACACGATAAGGGTAGAAATTAAAGACACTGAAAATCTTCCCTCAGGAACAACAATTATCTGTGAACAATAAAATCTTGTCTGAATAATTCATCAGTATCAAGGGTGCAGGCCCCCCTTTATTCTGGAATCCCAGGAGTTCAGGCAAGTGTACCATTTAATGTTTCTTAACTACTCAGCTGTCATTCTTTCAGGGCCTGGCATTTATGGGCACATTCTTATGATTTTTATAAATGTTTCAACATGGGAAACCACTGTTAAGATTTGGAAGCTGCACTTCTTTTACCTAAGAAGAAAGAAGATTATAAAGTGTCCGTTATGAGAATCCACCTGGGAGCTACACACCAGATCAAATACCCAAAACAAATCACCACGTCAGAGCCCCACAGTTTTCTGAGTCCCAACCGGCAAGCATGAATAATCCTTTTAAATGGTCACTTACATATCAGAACAGGTCCTTTGTGAAATCTCTAGGCAAGGCCTCTGGTTTCTGACTGAAACAAAGATTTATTGGGAAAAGGGGATAAAGTGAAATCAAGAACTACTGGGAAATTTCCACGAGAAAGGAGGACAAATGGTTTTGTTGTCAGAATGAAACCAGCCTCTCCTGGCCAAGGTCTGGAAAGTTGCTGGCTACCCAACAGGACAGTTGGGCAATATTCTTAACTGGTTTCTCAGGGACCATCCTAATCAAGTAGTAGTTACCGGGCAGATGCAATAGCAAACTAAATCAGAATACCTAGTTTCGAATCCTGGGTCATTTTCTTATTAGCTGTGTAACCTTGTGCAAGTCACTTAACCTGTTTGATACTCGATTCAACATCTTAAATATGTTGAGAGTAAATGTCTACCCAATAATGCACTATTATTGCAAAGATCAAATGAGATTAAATATATGAAAGTTCTTTCTAACGTGTAAGATTCTGTATAAGTATCTGTATAAATCATTCCCACAATATTAGATAAACTACATAGCACTCAGAAGCTTATATGACTCTTAGTTCTCAGTTTCTAAAGATGGTCTCATTTTTGCCTATTCTTTACAGTTTTATTGAATCCTTTTTGGGGTTTTATTTTTTTGGAAAGGAAGGATATAAGCAAAGGCAAATGGGAAAAACAAAACAAAACATGGAATCACACACCCTACTCTTTGGTGCTACTAGGCAAAAAATTTTAAACTGAGGTGATTCATCATCATGAAGTTGATATCACTACCACCTGAGGGACAGAAGAGGGAGGCATCCAAAAGGTATGTGATTCTTCTCGTCTCTGGTGGAAGGACAGAAGATCGATTTACAAAAATTGGTTGTATTTCTAATTACTAGCAGCAAATAACTGTAAAATTAAATCTGTAAAGCTACTCCGTTTACAACAACACCAAAATATATAGAAATACTCAGGAATAAATTTAACAAAAATTGGGTAAGACCTCTACAGTAAACTGCAAAACATATGTATAAGATACTAAACTATAAAGTATGTATGAGAGACAAAAGAAAACTAAATAAATTGAGATATATATCACATCCCTGAACCGGAAATCTCAATATTATTAAAAATGCAATTCTTCCCAAATTGCTCTATGGATTCAACACAATCCCAATCAAAATCCCAACAGGCTTTGGTAAAAATTGACAAGTTGATTCTAAAATGTATATAGAAATGCAAAGGATCTAGAATACATTTTTTTTTAATTTGGCTAAGAAGAAAAAAAGAATTTCAGGAGTCACCTGATTTGAATATTTACTTTAAAACTTCAGTAATCAAGACAACATAATATTGGCATAAGGAAGACAAACAGATCCGTGGAACAGAATAGAGACTCCTCAAATAGACACACATATATAAAAGGTCAAGTGATTTTTAACAAAGGCACCAAGGGGAAAAGAAATTCCTTTCAATAAATAGTGTCAGAACAACTGGTTATGGGGATAAATGAATCTTGACCCCTGTCTTACACCACACACAAAAATTAATTAAAAATGATCATAGACGTAAATGTAAAAATCAAAGCCACAGTTCTAGAAAAAAAATAGGAAAATCATCTTTCAGACGTTGGGGTAAGCAAAGATTTCTTGTAGAGGACAAAAAAAGCTGTATACTAACCATTTAAAAAAATAATAAATTGGACTTCATAAAAATGTAAAGCTTTGGCACATCAAGAGACACCACTAATTCCATAAAAAGGGAAGCATCAGGCAGGAAGAAAATACTTGTAATACATACATCTCACAAAAGACTTATTATCCATAAAATATAAAGAACTTCTATAGATTAATAACAAAAAGCCAACTTAATTTTTTTAATTGAGCAAATAGATATAACAAAGAAGTTACCCAAATGGACAAAAAGTATATGAAAATGAGCTCAACTTCACTAGTGATTAGGACGATACAAATCTAAACCAAAATGAAACAATATTTTGCACTCACTAGAATGGGTAAAATAAAAAGAACTGACAACACCAAAAGATGATGATGATATGAAAAGATTAGAACTCTCATACACTACAAATAAGAGTGTAAAATGAAAAACAGTTTGGCAGTTTCTTGTGAAATTAAACATACATTAACCCTATAATCAGCATTCTACTCCTAGATATTTACCCAGGAGAAATGAAGATGTGTCCACAAAAACACTTGTATAAAAATGCCCATAGGAGCATGATTCACAATAGCTAATAACTGGAAACAACCCAAATATCCATCAACATGAGATTGGAAAAATATATTGTGATATATTCATACATTGGTACACTACACAGCAACAAAAGGGAATGAACTACTGATGCATACAATGTATATACATGAATCAAAAAATATATATTAAATGAAAAAACCAGTAACAAACAAGTACACAGGATATGATTCTATTTATGTGAAATTCAAGAACAGGCAAAACCTAAATATGGCAATAGAGACTATGACCATGGTTCCTTATAGGGGGTTGGAAGGAGGCACAGGGGAGCTTTTGGGGTGATGGGAATGTTCTTTATCTTAACTTGGGTGGTTGTTACACAGACGTATATTTTCCAAAATTCATTAAATTGTACCCTTAAGATTACTCATGTCACTGCATGTAAATTTTATCTCATGAATGAATGAATAACACCATGTTGAAATAACCACACAAATCCAGAAAGTGGGACTCTGCAGGACAACTGGTCAGATCTCCTCAGAAACCATTGTCAGTAAGTACAAGAGAAAAGGAATGTGATGGGTTATAAAAGACTTAAGGGACATAACCAGATACAATGTATGGTCTTGGATGGGAAGATACTTTGGGCCAAAAGTCAATTAAAGGTATTTTGGGAACACATGGGGAAAATATCAATATAATCTTGGTTTTAGATGACATAAAAATGCATTAATGCAAAGCTGGAGATTGTGGATGGAAAAGGAAAAACAAGTTACAAAGCAGTCTGTACTGTCACATCTCTTTTTGGTATTGCTAAAAGGCTATTATGTATTATACATATTATATATTATAAAGAGATCCATAGGGAATATACATTTATCTATCAACATAGCTAACTCAGGAAGAGGGGGTTTACATTTACTTATTTTTGTGTGTTTTCTAACTTGCCACCATGTATAAGTAGTATTTCCGTAATATATGTTGCCTTAAAATATTAGATTCTGTAATTCACTGTTTTATAAGACATGGTAAAAGGTGACAGGAACGGGTAAGGCAAGAGGAAAGAAACCTAACACTGTTTGATATACTAAGTGAATATCCTTTTGGGCACTTTCCATGCAGATCTCTTTCATTCTCACAAAAACCCACACAAGATCATCCCTATTTTTGCAGAGCTAATGAGGATACAAGGTAGCATTTTTACATAATATAATCTGATCTCAAAACCCATGTTCTTTCCACCTTTCAGTTTTATTACTGAACATTTATGAAGTATTTACTATGTATGTACCAGGCACTCTGTTAATGCTTTACATGAATCACCCACTCCTACCTCATAATAATCCGTGTAAGGATGATACTATTATTATCCTCACTTTAAAGATAAGAAAACTGAGGCACAAAGATCAAATAAGTCTTCAAGTTCCCACAGCTGAGAAGTGGCAGAAGCAACAATCCAGTTCAGGCCACCTGATTCTTCACGCTCCTACCCAGCACACTATCCATGTTTCTAAGTTCCCCTGCTTTCAACAAGGTGGAGTAGGGGAGAACGAGTGACAGTTACCTGCAAAGGGAACACTGTCATCAGGACCTACCATGAAGTTATTCACGGTGACACCCTGCTTACCTGTCCAGGGCCATGCTGGTGGGCATGCTCCTCCCAAACCCTCGGACCCCCATCTGACGGAAATATGGAATGCAAGAGAGGTTGGCAGCAATGATGGCCAGGGAGTCGGAAGGGCTCACAAAGAAGCCATTTTGGCCTAGGATCATATAACGGTCCTGTGGGAAAGAATGTGTAAAAATGATCATCTGCTCCTAGCAGCCCATTCCCATAATCATCACAAGTCCCTTTACGGCCATCCCATATTTAAACAACCTAAAACAACTTGAATGAGGCCAAGAGGGCATGGGAAACCTTCTTCTAAATCCCTGAATATTGTAGGCCCCAGGATCTTGACGCATCTAAGACGGCGTCCCACCTACTGAAACGTGGATGACTGTCTTAGGCGTCAGTAGCCTCCATAGTCTTAATTTGCACTGTCCTCCAAACATAATGGAGAACAGGGGTAATTGCTAAAACAGCTGGTTCCTTAACATGTGCTTTCAACAAAACGAGCCATAAATAAAGATTTATTGCATGAATGTTTTTAAAAAAGAAATAACCTCTTCATCACATAATGTTTACCAGGAACTCAGAATAGTAATGGCTATTAAGTTACAATACTGATCCATGAAACAGAAGAGCAGATGCAGTGCCAGTTAGGGTTCACGTGCCCATATATGTCAGTCCCAGATGTGTTCATTAATTCTCTGGTTTCCAGGCCTTGGCTCATTCTATGGTAAAAGGGTCAGCAGGCAAAAACATTCCTACTTACCCCATCAGCATCAAATGCAGCACCAAATCCATATTCCCCTCCTTTCATAGCTTCCAGAAGGGTTGTTGCATATGTCAGGTTTGGGTCAGGATGCTGCCCTCCAAAATCTTCCAGGGGAACACAGTTTATTGCAGAATTGGCTGGGGCTCCCAGCTCATCACACAGGACTTTTCTCACATAGGGTCCCATAACTAAAAAAAAAGAGACACAGCAATGTAAAACCTTTGCAGAACCCCCCAAGGGGGTTTTGTTCTGGTTAAAACAAGAAAGGCCATTTCATAGAACAGAAAAAAAAAGATAAATTCTGCAAGCTTTTTCAAGATACAACACGGAATAATATTTACTTCAAGTACTATTCATTGAGCACCTACTATGTGCCAGTTACTGTGTTAGGCATATAAAAGATGTACTCAATAATCCAATTACATGAAAATTTTCTCCAAAACTTCTATATCATTGCCAGAAAGAAATCAACTACTTAATGATGATTTATTGCCTGTTGCTTTTTATGTATTAAAAGTTTTAGTGAAATATATGCAAAAGCACTAAAAGGCTCTAGCAATGTTCTTTGTAATGGTTGAAACTCTGCCAAGTGTATAATTAAACACTGTAAACCACTGAAGCATATAAAACTAAGCATATTTTGTAAAATAAATGCTAAGGAATAGTGTTCTCCAGTTCAACACACATTTATGGAGTGCCTAACATGGAACTCCTATGTTAGCAACGGAGGGAATCATATTCAAGGGACCCAAAGCACACAGTTCCTACATCACTGGACTCTTACGCTAGCAGTGGAATGAGTAAAGTCTACAGATGAGTGGCTGCAATGGTAAGACTAGTGCTACTCAATATATACTTATGAAACAGTTAGATTCAATGGCTTAAGAGAAGGAATGATCACAGGCAAGGCTTCAAAAATGAGGTAGCATTTCTGAGAGGACTTGAAGGAAAAATATAAATTTGACAGGGGTGGGGAGTGGGGATGCCATCCAAATGGAAAGAACATTATGAGCAAGAAAATGGAGACTGAGATAAAATATACAGCATATTTGGGGACTAGCATATAATCCTACGGGCTGAAACACACATAAAGGATTGCTTTCCATTTATTTTCCACTAATATAACACAAACCTCAACTAGTGAGCATCTCTTGATTTTGCCTGCCTGGCACTCATTTCACCTTCATCTAGTAGCAGCATTTTGGGTTTCCTTTGGAGAACCCACCCCCTTCCCATCTCAGTTCATGTGATGTGGCTAAATCCCGCTTGTCCCAAGGCTGGGGAGGTGACCTTGGTCTGCCCAATCAGTGTCCTACATTCCTCAGCCAGAGTGATTGATTCAGAGATGGACATATAGTACAAGCTAGGCAATGAGGCTCAAACCCAGAAATATTGCTCAAACTATTTGGAAAGAGAAGCTTTCTTCCCACTAGGCCAGATAATGCTAAAGAAAGAACCTGAAAGATCTTTTTCTAGGGAATATAACCTGCCCAATAAGAAAGAACAAAGCAGACAAGACAGACGACCTTAGAGTGAAGTTCATATGACATGGAGGTAGTGCCCTCACTTTTAAATATGTCAGCCAGCCAAGGATCACCAAAGTTTTGAAGAATACACTTAACATGAAACCAAAACAAACAGAGTAAAGAGCAACCTGGAGAAAACAAAATCTTTTAAAGTATGTATCAGTAATATCTTACTAGAGATCAACAAGATATGGTGGAATGGATAAAACTGAAAAGACTGACCATACCAAGTATTGGTTTGGACACAGAGAAACTGGAGCCCTCACACAGTCCTGGTAGTGCAAATGGTACGGCCACTTTGGAAAACAGTTTGGCAGTTTCTTATAAAGTTAAACACATACCTATCATATGGTCCAGCAATCCTACTCTTAGGTATTTATCCAAGACAAATGAAATAATATATTCCCATAAAGACTTATTCACAAATGTTTATAGCAGCTTTGTTTATAGTAGCCAAAACCCAGAAATAACCCTAATTATATCAACTGGTGAATGGATAAGTGAACATCCATACAATGGACTACTACTCAGTAATAATAAGGAATAAGTGCTGATAATTACAATACCGTGAATGCATCTCTAAAACATTATGCTGGATGAAAAAAGCCTGAAGAAAAAGGCTACATGTTGTATGTTTCCATTTATATGGCTTTCTGGAAAAGGTAAAACTATAGGGGCAAAGAGTTAAGGAGTGATTGCCAGGGGTCAAGTAGAGGAGGACAGATATAACTACACAGGACTTCACAAGGGAACTTTATGAAGTGATGGAACTATTCTATATCTTGATTATCATAGTCGTTAATAACTATATATGTTTGTCAAACCTCACCAAACTGTATACCTACAAGGTATGAATTTTACTGTTATACCTCAGTAAACAAATTATACCTCAATAAACCTGACTTATTAAAAAAATATATATGGCATTCATGAAACATAAACGGGAGCTATTTTTAAAAAGAGATTATTTGGAAAACAAAAAACAATTGGGAGAAATTAAAGATATCATAGTGGAACTAAAAAACTTAATGGAAGGAATTAGAGATAAAGCTGAGGAAATCTCCCAGAAAGTAGCACAAAACAAAGACAAGAAAAATAGGTGGTGGGGACAATAGGATAATTAAAGCATCAGTCCATTAGGGTCAATATCTAAACAAATGCCATAATGGAAAGAAAGGGAAAAGAAAATAATGGAGGAAATCATCCAAGAAGTAATTCAAAAAAATTTCCCAGAATTAAAAGGCACAAGTTTCCAGATTAAAAGAATCCTCCAAGTGCCTGACACAACAGAGAAAAATAGTCCCCACTAAGACTCATCATTGTGAAAGGTAGAAACACTGAAGATAAGTCAAAGGCCCTAAAAGCCCCTGAGAAGAAAAAATAAAGATTTCATACAATGAATTAAAAATCAGAAAGCACCAAATTTTTCAAGTTTAATATGAATGGCCATAAGACAACGAAGCAATACCCTCAAAACTTCTGAAGGGAAATAATATCCAGCCTAGGTTTTTATATCCACTATATCCAGACAAATATCAATTAGGAGTGAGCATTGAGGGCGGGCCGAGTGGCACGATGGTTAAGAACTGGCTTGGGATGTTAGAGGGCCCCGGTTCGGATCCCACATATGAGGGCCAGTGACACTGCCCTCTACAGCTAAGATGCTGAACAACAGCTCAACCTGGAGCTGGGCTGCCATGAGTCGCTGGCGATGGTGTAGGCTGCAGCCTCTGTGGCAGTGGGTTGCCATGGGCTACCATGTGTAGCCGGCAGTCAGAGTGAGCAGCCAACAGCCGCAGTGAGTGGCCGTCCAGAGGCCGGCGGCTGATCCGTCTCGCCTGGGAAGAGCGCAATGATGGTGCCAACTTGGGCCAGTGAAGCAACGTCCTCCACAACTAGACTGAAGAACAAAAGGACAGCAACTTGTCTGTTCCCCTTCCCCCAATTCCCCAGCGCTGTTCCAATTCCCCAATAAAAATCTTTAAAGAAAAAAAAGAGTAAGCATTGAAAAAAGGCATTTTCAGATATGCAATGACTCAAAATATTTACTTTCAATGAGCTTTCTCTCACAGAGTTCCTAGAAAATGTGTCCCTCCAAAACTTAGGAGTAAAGCAGGAAAACAGATGACAAAGGGTCCAGAAATAGGAGAGTCAACATGAGAGGGGTAAAGGGCATTATTAGAATGATGATAAGGGAAGAGTCCAGGACAACAGCAGCTCAGAGAGCAACCAATGCGGACTGAAGTAGATTAGAGGTCTCCAGGACAATGAAGTAGAGAAGGTTTAGAAACCGGGAAAGTATGGGTGTTAATAGAAATAAGTACACTTAAAAACTAAGCAATGAGAAAACAAGACAATTACTAATTCCAAGGAAATTTTTTTTAATTTTGCTGTAAAGAAAATATAATTATAGTATTTTTCATGGCTCAGCAGTGTTATGATAATTTGACACTGGATACTGATCTTTACAAATTGTTCATATAATTAGTTTAGGGAAATGTGCTTGGATTTAGTGAGTAGAAAGGATGAAAAAGAGTTACAACCTCATTTTCCATAGTATGACATCAGTAATGCCCAAAATTGAAAAATCAACAAGAAGTAGTATATTCATAATATTGAGTAATAGAGAGATAAGTACTTTAAAACAACTAAGTTTTTTAAAAGTTGCCTCTAGTAAGCAGGAAATTGGGGGAAGAAGTTTGGGATAGATTTTTTCACAATGAACTTTGAACTATTTGACTATTTAAATTATGTGCAAGGGCAGGCCGAGTGGCTCATTTGGTTAAGAGTTAGTTTAAGAGCGTGAGCTCTGAGCAACAGGGCTGCCGGTTCGATTCCCACATGGGCCAGTGACGCTGCACCCGAGCTGAGCTGCCTCTGAGCTGCCAACAGGTGGCAGGATGGCTCAGCTGGTGAGAGCACATGCTCCTAACAACAAGAGTGCCTGTTCAATGGTGGGCTACACCTGACCGCAACTATGACTGAACTAGGCACCTTGAGCTGAGCTGCCACCCAGATGGCTCAGGGGATAGAGCATGTGCTCTTAACAACAAGGCCGCTGGTTCAACTCCTGCATGGGATGGTGGCTACGCCCACCTGCAACTAAGATTGAACACAGCACCTTGAGCTTAGAGGCCATGAGCTGCCGACGGGCAGCCAGATGGAGACTGGTGCCCTCCACAACTAAGATTGAAGAACAACAACTTGGCTGGTCCTCCTCCCCAATTCCCCAACTCTGTTCCCCTCCCTCAATTCCCCAATTTAAAAAAAAAAAACAACACAACTATGTGCATGTACTGTGATCAAAAAAAATTTTTTTAATGATTACAGTTATACTCTGTCCACATCACACTCTAACAACTCAAACTTATTTGTTCAAGCTTTGTTTTCATTTGCATCAAAAGAGAGAAATTAGAGCCCTCAAGTTTTCCAGAGCATTCCAAATATCTGAACATACACATGTTGTGTGAATATCCATGAATCCAACCTTCCTCAGAATCCTCAAAACCCAACATGTGTCAAGGTCTCCTTAACATTTCTTGCCCACCAAAGTACAAGACCACGAGCTTACCTCCATGCATGGCATCAACTCGGATCTTCAGTTGACCAGGCCCAGTCAGCAAACTCTTTATGGCGTTAAAGTCAAAGATGGTCCGAAGGAGATTGAGATAAATATCCACTGGGTCCACTATCTCCACTAGGATAGGAAAGCAAAGGGAAACATCAATGACCATAAACATGAAGAATACTTGGAAGCGTGAAAATGAATCACTACCCTAATACATGGAACTCTGAGCACAATCCCATCATAACCCTACATGTTATGCAGGAGGCAAAGTGTCCATTTATAGACAAAATCACAAATTAAGGCACAATCAAGATGCTACAAATTTTTCAGGTTATCAACGGGTGTAAATAATACCAAGTTATAAATTTTTCTTTGCATGTGAAAAATCAACCAAAATAATAAAGTTGTTAAGATAAAACTGTGCCATTATCCCAACTCACATCTTCTTTCTGTCACCTTCCTGCCAAAAAAATGCACCCACCTTAATGCTAAAAGGCATCTTGGCACACCCACTTGCCTCTCCCATGGGGATCGGCCAAAAAACTGACTCAGATGGCATGAATCAAATCAAGGAGTGACCTCAGTCAGCAGTGACTCCTATTTTCCTAATGTCACTGTGCAAACCAGATCCAGGTTTGGAATTAGTGATGAAGGATATATTCCTGAATCTGTATGAAGTCTGTTGGGTGCCCATTCTAGTAACAATTTTAGGGTGAATGTCAGATATTTCAAAATCCTCATTAAATACAAATGTTCTCTAGTGTCCAGCACCACCCAATGACCAGGAATCCAAAACAAGTCTTTTCCATTTATTTGACAAATACATAAAATCCAAAATACATTACATTTTTCAAACTTGGCAATCAGTACCTAATAATACTCAGAAAGTACTTTTCCTAGAAAAGTTTCTATTTGACTTTAGACAACTTGTCCATGAGCCTGGCTTTTTAAATTGGCAGTTAAATTGTGAAACTTATGTATATTGTTTTTTCAAATGTTTCAAATACATAGTACTTTTGAATCCTGAAATACGTAAACCTGCACTGAATATATTACCAATATACCTTTAATAACTTTCAGTAAATCCAGGTGCAATATTGAATGGATGATATTTTAATATGTAATATGAAACTATCTCTTCACCTGGTCAAATATAAATCTAAAAATATTTTTCCTTGCACTTAAATCATTGTAGTATATGTGTCCATTCAAATATAATGCAATTACTTTTTAAGGAACAGATAGTTTTTAGTCATCTTTGATGTGAAGAGGATATTAATCTATAAAATTAATAAAAAATTAAACTCTATGAACTATCCACCTAAAATGGTTAAAACGGTAAACTTTATGTTATGTACATTTAACCACAACAAAAAAAAATTGATCTATAAAAGACTTGAATACATTAAAAGTTTTATTTATTCTGTAGTATAAGATAATATTGTTGGCAATTTCATTCTGGTTCTTAAATTCTTGAAACACCTGCCTAAGTAGATTTGGTATTTATAGCTGGTAACACATGATACCAAACAGAAATGTAAAAAGCAAGGCAGCATACAGAATTCAGTGAAATTCAAAAGTTCACATCACACAGTTCATGTGCTTGACTGTTTAAGGTGAAATGCCAAGGACTGATTTGTCGCCAATGAACTCAAGCCCTGCTCAATATTTAAAGCCACAAGAACACAGCACAAAAATTATCCCAAACAATTATCTGCAAATTCTTTTGGGGCACCAGGGACTCTCCCTACCCACCTCCCAGTATCTGTACCATTTTTTAAAAACTCATCAGACTAGCAAAGTGGCTGCAGCAATGGGCCTGGATCTGAGCTCACCAAAGATCTGGGTCTCTTGAACAACTAAATAATTTGTGAAGATAGCAAAAATAAATAAATAAATAAATAAATAAATAAATAAATAAATAAATCTTCTTCCTGATGGTAATGTCTGATTTTTCTCAGTCACCTTATTGTCCTGTCCTTCCAAACACATGTAACCAAGCATATTTAATCATTTTGTTTAATATAATATTTCCCTGGTTTTGAGCTGTCAAATCATTGTGTGTGTGTGTGTGTGTGTATGCGTGCACACGCTCACTTCCAACTAGATTAATAAAAGCAGGCATACATTGCTTCTCTTAAGCATCACATGGCTTTGAATTAGTTTCTGCTGACTAGCTAAGTAAGCAATTGACTCAAAATCTTTCAAGAAAAATGTAATAGAGTTGGCCCAACACTGTGACCCCTGACCAGTTTATTTCAAGCGCTTCCCTGTCCCTACAGTACCATGTGGCCATGAGCCAGGTAGTTCATCCTTTTAGCTCTGTTAAATTACTTGGATACCATCTTAACACAAACTGTATTTAAGCTTCTAGGGGCACCGAAGGAGTAAAAAAAAACAAAAATGTTCATTTTATTCCTCCTTGTATGCCTTCTAGGAAAAGAAAAACAATAGGGTAGAATAGAGAGGAAGTGATATGCACACACGTGGTATTAATGTTGTTACATGATTCAATATTAATCTATACATTGAAAGATTATAATCTGAGTACTTTAGAAGTTTTATTTACTCTACAATATAGGATGCTATTTTTGGCAATTTCATCCTAGTTTTCTAATTCTTGAGCCATTTGCCTAAATCCATTTGGCAATGAGTTTCTTGGTAAAATTTCCTGATACAATGCTTGATAAAGAGCAGATAATCAGTAATTGTGCATTGAAGCAAGATGAAATGCATGGTTCTGGCTTGGAAAAGGAACGCCCACTTTCCATGGGAAATTTCAACAACCCCACTGCAGTGTTGGGTCTCCTCTTAATTATCTAAAGTATCCCGGCATCTTCACCTTCACTGCTTAGGAACGCAAAGACACGTTCTGGCATTCGCAGCCTGCTCTTGGAACACTGTATAAGAGTCAGCCATGAAACCTTCCCTATGTATAAAATGATAAAGCGTTTAAAAGTGGTTTTTGAAAGTGGCCCGTTCTGAATATCTTGGCTGCTCTCATTTCCCTGTGCCCCACATTCAGATTACGTCTGTTTATCAAGTGTCACCCCCGACACTGATAATTCCATTGCTTTTGTGTGTGCATTCCCCTGCAGATAGCAGAGTCACCTCCATCCACAGAGTTCATCGGACTTCTTCAAATTATAAGCTATTACCTCTAAATGGTTTGAATTTGTTCTCCAGGTCAAATTCTTGTCTTCCTAGTCGAGATAGGTCAATTCGAAGATCAGGACATATGGCATATTCCTCAATTGTTTTGCTGATCTGATAGATTTTGTCTGAGACAACATCTGGCGCAGGACCTAAAATTTGAAAATAATGCACCACCAAAAATAAATGTATTTAAAAGTTCCATCAGAGAAATGTTACCTCCTCCTCTACCAAACAGGAGAAAGATTTATACGTTCACAGTTCAATTATGCTTGATATTTCTTATGCTGTATACATTCACGATGTAGGAAATTTGGTCAGCCTCACCTATTCTATGAAGGCTAATAACCTACATGTTTGTTTGTTTGAATCCACTTCTAAGCAATGATACGTCTCCCCTAAAAATAGTTTCACACCTGCCAGGGAGGCCCGGTTATGTAATCAGCTTTATTCAGGATATGAGACACAAACAGGATATGCATTTGACAGAAGTGAGGGATTCCAGATTTAAACTGCAGCTTACCAAGTGCACCTAGAGGAAGCAAATATGATTTCTACTCCCAGGTCCGCTGCCCTCGTTGGTACGTGAGTTTACCAGGGTAAATTATTTTCCCCAACTCACAGTCTCTACTGACTCCCAAGTTTTTAAAATGAGGTTTAACTAAAAGTATATGATGCATTTGCTCACAAGGTCAGGTTGACAATTAAACTGTAACAGACTTTAAATGAATTGAACATAAAATCAATAGTTGTCCTCCTTTAGCTTTTCTTGTCTTTTTAACTTTTATATCTTATTTTTAATTTTTAAAAATCAAATTTATTGGGGTGACATTGGATAGTAAAATTATATATTATATCTTAATGTGAGCCACTTTAAATTTTTTGCAACAAGTTTGGGAATCAAATAAATAAGTAGATTGAAAAATCTAAAATATAAAAGATGGATGGATGGATAGGCATACAGAGAGATAGGTGATAGATAGCTTTGTGTATTAATTTCACTCACCAACTATATTTTAACTTTCTACTGAACACAAATTATTTCTTGATTTCCTTTATATCCCAATCCTTAGAGCTGCACTGTCTAATACAATAGCCACTAGCCACACATGGTTATTAAGCATTTGAAATGTGACTAGTCAAACTGAGATGTGCTATAGTTGTAAAATACACACCGAGTTTTGAAGTTAGTAGAAAGACTGCATTAATAATTTTATAGCAACATGTTGAAATAAAAATATTTAGGATATATTAAGTTAAATAAAATATATTATTCATTTCACCTGTCTCTTTTTACTTTTTTTTTTTTAATCTTTACTGGGGAATTGGGGAGATGGGAACAGCGCTGGGGAATTGGGGGAAGGGGAACAGACAAGTTGCAGTCCTTTTTTTGTTCTTCAGTCTAGTTGTGGAGGACGCTGCCTCACTGGCCCAAGTTGGCACCATCATTGTGCTCTTCCCGGGCGAGGCAGATAAGTCGCCGGCTTCTGGACTGCTGCTCACGGAGGCTGCTGGCTACACATGGTAGCCCATGGCAACCCACTGCAGCAGGGGCTGCAGCCTATGCCGTCGCCAGCAACTCACGGCAGCCCAGCTCCAAGTTGAGCTGTTGTTCAGCATCTTAGCTGTAGAGGGCAGTGTCACTGGCCCTCATATGTGGGATCCGAACCGGGGCCCTCTGGCATCCCAAGCCAGCTCTTAACCATCGCGCCACTCGGCCGGCCCCTCTTTTTACTTTTTTATGTGGCTACCAGAAATTTTAAATTACATATGTAACTCACAATATATTTCTATTGGACAGTACTGCTTTAGAGCATAACACTAATACTGCCTCCCAAAAAATACTCATTGAACATATAAAAAGGAATAGTGCCCAAGCTCATTAAATTGCATACATTATATATGTGCAAGTTTTTGTATACCAATTACACCTCATTAAAGCTGGGGGGCGGGGGGGAGAGGGAGGAATAGCAATAGCACCATTCCAGTAGGTGGAAAAGAGCCTAGTAGATTGTACTGACATTTTCTTGTCCTGTAGGAAAAGTGAGGGCCACAAAGAAATAAACATAGCCCTTCTCAACTTGACTCCTTACCATTTTTTACCCTTTTGCAAAGCATAAGACTCTCTCTTCTTTTTAGGTCCTTACTAATAGAGAAGGGATTCTCTTCCAGATTTTTAAAGGGCTGGATTATTCAGTAATTTAGTAAATATTTAAGATTCAGTAAAGCTCAATTTGGGTTTGGTTGCATATTTATATTTATAATTTTTGACACTGCATTCCTTTTTGGGCTAATGTAATGTGTATGTTTGATTCTTGATCACTCAAAAAAATCACAAACATTATAACTTAATAAAGAAGACAGAATTTCAAGCAAAAAAAATAGTCTTATTCAGTTTTTGCATTTTTATGCAAAACTAATGCTTACCAGATTGGAGAATGCATAAATATCTCCTTGCCCCCCAACGCCACACTATGTGCTAGGGCTGTCTCCATCAGTTTTCTAAAGTCTAAGTTTTATGACAAAGCACACTGATTTCCAAAAGTAAAACAAGATTCTAGCACACTAGATAATTTTCTAGGGTGCCACTCAACTACCCACGTTGATAGCCTCAGAACTCATCAACTGCCTCTGCATTCTTTGACATCTTCCACTCCAATGGCTTTCTTCTTCATTTTCGTCAATGCCTGGTATAGGCGTTCCTTAAGTATTATGGTCTCTTGAAATCCTTCTCTCAAAAATATCAAATATCAGTGTCCTCAGCCCATCCACCCTACTCTGTACCTCTGCTGAATCCACTCATCATTGCTGTTCTAACGCCCATCAGTACATGATTACTCTCAGGCCATCAGTCCATTCTAGTGTCACTGGTCTCATCCGAGGCAGGAACCCACCATTTGAGCTATGCCTTTGGTAGCATAATGGCAACAAGCCAACAATTATTGCAACTTACATATACCACGTGTCATACTTTATATGGAATTTGGTACTCACAAAAAACAGATGAAGTAAGTATTATTATTACCCCCTTTTTCCAAATGGGGAAACTGAAATTGGAAAAGGTGACCTTAACCAAGGTCACATCACTGGTAATTGACAGAGGCTGGATTGGAATCCTAGTAGTCTGATGTCAGCTCAGACACTCTTAACAACTCTTGGTGCTCTGCCGTGCCCACCCAGCCATTCCCCAAACCCGGGACATCACCATCATCTGTTCCCATTGATGCCATTCCCAGACTTCCCTGCATTGCTGAAGGTAGTCATAAAATTATACAAACTGCTTTCCCCTAAGAATGATGGTTTAACTGCACCCTGGTCCTCAAAACTTCTCACAAATTCTCAACAAATTTCCCAGAATACCTTTTACAAAATATCTCCATTTATCCCAAGTTCCTTCTCTAGTCTTGCCTCATTATCTTAGCAGGCAACCTTTATTCTTACTTTCTTTTAAACAGATATAGGCAACTATTCCCAAAACTTCCATTCTGCACCCCTCCAGCTTGCTTCTTTCCCTCTCTTTGCCTTCTTACTCAGAAGTTCTGTCCCCTTCTTGGAATCTAGGTTTTGAACGAGCTCCACAGCTGACTAGTTCTGTGACACTGGTCATTTTTTTAAACCATTTTATTCCTTGGTGACTTCATCAGGTTGTTGTGAGGATTAAATAACATGATCTACGTCAAGTTCTGAGTATGAAGTCTAGCATATTGTAAGTATTAAAAAAAGATCACTATTTTTATTATTGATTTCATTTGGGCTCTAGCATCGTCCCCTTTACTTAAAAACATGCTCAGAACGGTCCTGTTTTCTAAGTATATTTTAAAAGCAACATAGCTCCAGATGTGTCCCATTTCCCTGGATGTGCTTGCTAATTCTATACAGTTAGCCTTTTAACTCGTTTCATAAGATGTATCTGTATGACACACAATAGAAGAGATGAATGCCAGAAACTTCAGATGAAGGGTGTCATGGTAAAACTTATTCTGCTTAGAACAAGAAGAAACCAACGGCATCTCTCTATGCCATCGGGAATGTTCGTTGTATCAATGATGCCAACACATTCAAACATGAAGAATTAAATACAAAAGGAGGAACATGCAGCATAGCTAAAGGCTAAATGATAAGTTCAATCGCCTCCCCCTATTCAAGGTATGGCGGAATGGGTTACATTACCTCCTGTAATTTAGTCTATAAAATGGGTATTTAAATAATACCTTCTTCCGTTATGTCTCACAGGATATCACAGAGATGACTAAGATGCTTTTGCAAGATATAAAGCAGATATTAATTTCAAACGCTTACTTGAAATCTATTGTTTAGTTTGGCAACTTATGTATTGCATTTCTCGACAAGTTGCCATTTTCTGAGCCCATTCAATTTCCTGTGTTATTAGTGTATAGAATACCTGTACAGTGCCTAGTTTTTCCTGAAACATTCAGGAGCTGCTGCAAGACTAGCTATAGATCCTATGCGTGCTTTTCAGTGAAGCAGAGCTTCTCTAAACATGCCTTCAAAGACAAGGCACTTCATAAGGTGGGCTTTTTTTTTAAAATGCTTAACATGAATAAAGTTCCTGGTTTGGATAATGTCTAAAATGGCTGCAAGGAGGGGAAGATAATGTACCTTCCCTTGAGGATGTGCTGTTTTGTCTGGGGCCAGTAACAATTCATAAAGGTACTGGTAACTGTTGTTGGTTAAAATTCAGCTCCCACCCATGTAAACACTCAGAGAGTACTCTAGATTAAAAGAGATTTAAGAGACTTAACCAAATGCAATGCATGGTTCTGAGATAAATCCTGTTTTGAACAAAATAGCTATAAGTGACATTTTGGGGACAACTGGGAAGTTTTTAATCTAGATAAATTTTTTGATGATATTTAGAGAATTAGCCTTATTTTGGTTAGGTGTGATAATGTAGTTATTTATATAAGGGTGTGTCTTTCTTTTTAAGAAATACATTCAGAAATATTTAGTGTGAAATGTCTTCATGCGATAATTTATCTTAAAATTCCTCAAGGAAAAAAAGATTGGCAATATGGGGAAGGGTTGTAATGGACACATGATATCCATTTATTATTCTCCCTACTTTTACATATGTTCAAAACATTTTTAATTCACCCCTATGCACATATCTCACCCCACTGGGGCCTCCAAACTATAAATTTCTGTAAATAAAAGAAAAAAATAATGTAAGTCTAAGCATTTCAGTGAAAGAAAGTCAACACTCCTATAGGAAAGAGAGAGTCCAGGACTTAAGCTAAAAGGTCATTTGTCTGACTCTGAGCAGCCATGTGACCTTGAGCAAATAACAGCCTCTCAGGACTTTGATTTGTTCATCTGTAAAATGACAATATGTCTAAATGACTTTGAGGGTATACTCAACTTTAAAATCCAGAGTTCTTCCATATCAGATAAGCATCGACTATTCAACTGTTTTACTGTGCTGAGGAGTGCAGGGGACCAAGAGACAAAATGGTTTCAAGATCCCATTATGTCACTTCCTTGGCCTGTCACCTTGGGTACTGTGATGGTTAATTTTATGTGTCAATTTGACTGGGCCACAGAGAGACCAGATGTTTGATTAAACATAATTTGGGCTGTTTCTGAAAGAGATTAACACGTGAATCAGGAGGCAAGTAAAGCAGACTGCCCTCCACAAGATGGGTGGGACTCATCCAAATCCACTGAAGGACTGGACAGTGCAAAAACAACTGAGGAAGGGAGAATCCTCTTTCTCTGCCTGACCGCCTTTATTTTAAGCTGACACTTCGGTCCTCTCCTGCCTTCAGACTTGGACTCAGACTGGAATTTACACCATTAGCTCTGCTGCTTCTCAGGCCTTTGGACTCGGATAAGAACTATTCCATCATCCTTCCTGAGTCTCCAGCTTGCTGACCGCAGGTCTTGGGACTTCTCAGTCTCCATAATCATGTGAGCCAATTCCTTACAACAAATCCCTTTATATACTATTGGTTCTGTTTCTCTGGAGAGCCCTAATACAGGTACCTCATTAGATTTTTCTGAGCCATTTCTTCCCCACCTTCCTTGTCTACCATCAGGGGGGTCATGGTAAGATTTTAATAAAAGAGGAAAGAAATTATGATGATTAAGGCATATTCTGAACCACATACCTCCATTGGCAACATTAAACTTCACTCCAAATTCCCCCCCTGGTCCTCCAGGGCAATGGCTGGCTGTTAGGATGATGCCGCCAGCTGCCTTGATCTTTCTGATAATGCAGGAAACAGCAGGTGTTGACAAGATGCCATTCTGTCCAATAATCAGTCGTCCAATCTAGACCAGGCAAGGAAAAAAATCAATCCAGTTACATGGGATTGAAATACTTTTCAAAGGAAAAGTGCCCCAGGCTCTGTTAACACATAGTAAATCACTTGGCAAAAGGAACTGAGTGGGCTTTAGGTTAGAAGATGTGGAGGGTAGCGGGGTTTGGGCCTTGTCTCCTCTGCCCAATGTCTCCAAGACCATTTGGGACACCCACAGCTCGCAGTCAGTTATTAACCTATAAATTGAAACTGCCTCATTGGTTTTCAGTAGTTTGAAACATCTGCTTTTGATGACCAAAGGGTTAGCTTGAACCACACAAGAAGTTCTTAGTTTGTTAGTGGCTCAGAAACTGCACATTAACATGCTAGAAATTACAAGAAAAAAGAAATGGAGTAATTCTATGCTTCATCCCCTCCTCTGCCTCAGCATGAGCTCACACAGGAGGGGACCTGACTTACTATCCAGCCTCGTTGTCAGGGGCCATATTTTTAATGCACTTGGAATGACCATTCTCCTGAAGGCAGGAACTATTTCTGCCACTAAGTGACACCATGTGCAGGACACAGTGGGGAAACTACTCAGTCATACCAGGCAGAGATCTGGAAGCCATCCACTGGTGTGGCCAGACTCTTTCTATAGCTATAAAACTGACTTTTAAAAAAACAGTTACTTGGTATGGTTTGTTTTAAAATAGGGCCCAATGTCATCCAATCCAGTGGTTCTCAAATGTTGCTACAAATTTTTTTTTAATTTATTGGGGTGACATTGGTTAGGAAAATTACATAAGTTTCAAGTGTATGCCTCTAGAATACATCATCTATATATTGCATTGTGTGTTCACCACCCAGAGTCAGTTCTCCTTCCATCACCATATATTTGACCCCCTTGACCCTCCTCTACCACCCCCACATCCTCCTTACCCTCTGGTAACCACTAAACTATTGTCTATGTCTTTGAGTTTTTGTTTCTTGTTTGTCTTGTTCCTTGGTTGCTTTCATTTTTATATCCCACATATCAATGAAGTCGTATGGAAATGTTGCTACAAATTAGAATCACTAATGAAGCCTAGAAAATTCCCAATAGTCAGACTGCATCCCAGACTAATTATATTGGAATCTCTGGGGGTGGGATCCAGGCATTTGTACTTTTTTAAAGCTCCACAGGTGATTCCAATGTTCAGCCAAGTTTGGCGATCAACCCCCTTGCCACTCAAAGGACTAGCTGCATGACCATCACCTGAGAGCTTGGGAAAAATGCAGAACCTCAAGGCCCACCCAAGACCTACTGAATAAGAACTGGTAACTTATCAAGATGCCTCCCCTCCTTTCAGATAATTCATTTGTCCCTTAAAGTTTGAGAAGTCCTGATGTAGCCCACAAGCCAAGGCAAGCTCTAGCATCCAGCTCAATAGCAAAGTGACCCTGGCACCAACAATAGCACTGCTAGAGGTAGATCACTGACCAAAGGTGACAATGAGGGAAGATACAGAAAAAATATACTATAGAGAACAAACAAAAGAGCTCCAAAAATAAATCAGTCTTGGGATGATTTAGTATGGAAAGGTCCACATACCACAATATCCCCAGAGTACATAGTTTTGAACGGATGAGGCAGATTATAAACAAATAAGCATAATAATAATTATTATTATAAATTGGATACATATTAGGAAGGAAATCAGCAGGGGTCTATGATGGAGAATAATGGGGCATCAATTTTAATAATAACAATGACAATAATAGAAATGACAGCTAAGTGAGCTTAGATTTTTTTTCTAAGTACAATGGGCATCCATTGAAGGATTTTAAGCAGTGGAAATGACCTGATATTATTCACATTTTAAAAGATCACAGACTGGGCAGTCCAAATGATCTTATTAAAAAGCAAGTCATATTGTGTCAGCAAAACATTCCAATGCCTTTCTTTGTCCCACACCAACCCAAGATAAAACCAAAGTTTTTAGCATAGACTACAAGACCCTACATGATCTGAATAACCCCCACCACATGCCATTCTCCACTCCACGCCCTCCCTCTGCTTCAGTCACACTGGCTGGTTTGTTGTTCCTCAAATGCATCAAGCATAATCAGGACTTTTGCATTTGATTTTCCTGGGCATAGAGCACTCTTACCCAGGTATTCATATGTGGGCCACTCCTGCCATGCTGGGTTTCTGGTCCAATGTCAACTAATCGCACATAGCACCTTTGACAGCCCTGTGTAATACAATGCCCATAAGTCCCTAATTTCCCTGTTGTCTTCTCTTTCCTTTACCCTGCTTTAATCTTCTGTATTATACATGTTACCACATAATATTTTCCACATTATTTATTTCCCCACTGTATATAAGCCTTAAAGAGGTTTGGGTTTGTTTTGTTTTGTTTTTAAAGATTTTATTGGGGAACAGTGTTGGGGAATTGGAGGAGGGGAACAGTGTTGGGGAATTGGAGGAGGGGAACAGTGTTGGGGAATTGGGGAAGGGGAACAGCCAAGTTGTTGTCCTTCAATCTTAGTTGTGGAGGGCGCAGCAAGCTCAGCTCCAAGTCCAGTCATGCCGCTCAGCTCAAGGTGCTGTGTACAATTAGTTGTGAGTGGGCATAGCCACCATCCCATGAGGGAGTCGAACCAGCAGCCTTGTTGTTAAGAGCCCATGTTCTATCCACTGAGCAATCTGGGCAGCAGCTCAGCTCAAGGTGCCGAGTTCAGTCTTTAGTTGCGGGCAGGCATAGCCCACCATGTTGAACATGCAACCCTGTTGTTAGGGGTACATGTTCTCACCAGCTGAGCCATCCTGCCACCTGTTGGCAGCTCAGCAGCAGCTCAGCTCAGACACAGCTACTGGCCCATGTGGGAATTGAACTGGCAACCTGTTGCTCAGGGTTCACACTCTTGAGCAAGCTCTTAACCAACTGAGCCACTTGGCCAGCCCAGGAGTTTTGGTTTTTTTTTTACTGCTATATTCCAAGACTCTAAAACAAACCTAGCATGTAGTAAGTAAACAATAAATATATGTTGAATTAATTAATTGGGGGAAAAAATGAATGAATGGTTGCTATGTGAAAAATTCATTAGAGAGTGACGAGCAGACAGAAGAAGATCAGATGGAAAGCTATTACAGCAGAGCTGAATGTGGATAGTGTCTTGTATTAGGCAGTAGAAATGAAGAGACGTGATTATATTTGAGATCTATTTTTGGAAGGAGAATGAGCAGAAGATGTAGGTGGAATGAAATATGGGAGAGGAAAGCTACGGTAACCAGCTTTCAAGATGGCTCCCAGTGATCCTTGCCTTCTGGCACTCATGTCTCTGTGCAGTCCCTTCCCACAGTGAAAAAGGCAGATCTAAGTGATTAGGAGAATAATGCAGAAGTGATAGTGCGTGATTTCTGAGGTGAGGCCATAAATGACATTGCCACTTCTGCCTTGCTCTCTTGGCATGTCATGAAGACACTCAAGGAGCCTGGTGCAGACACCTTTACGGAGAGGAACTGAGGTCTCCCTCCAACAGCTGGCAGCAATTTGCTAGCCGTGTAGGTGAGCCATCTTGCAGTGTATCCTCCAGCACCAGTCAAGCATTTCATATGACAAAGCCCCATCAATATATTACTATGACCTCATGGAGTCCTCAAGACGGAACAGCCCATCTCCTGTCCCACAGAAGCTATACAAAACAATAAATATTTGCTATTGTTTTAGGCCACTAATTTTGTGGTAATATTTTGCACAGCTTTCTACCTTTAAAACTTGATGAACGGTGGTGCCATTTATCAAGACAGGAAAGACACAGGGCAATAATTACACTCATATTATTAGGCAGAGCCATGATAAATTATGTTCCACATCATTTTGAAAAATGTTCAAAAAACATTTTTGAGAAATGATCCTCATCAAACTATAAAATCATTAAGAAGCTAAATAGCATTAACCTTTTAAGTTAAAGACTGCTCTTGTTAAAGTTTATCTGGTCACTAAGTCATCTCATTGTTACCATGAAACAGGCAATGTAGAAGACCCTGCAGTTACAGATATAATTTAGTTCCTAACCCTGAGGAATAAGTCTGTAGATTCAGGAATCTGAAAAATTATTGTAAATTTTGTTCATAATTTTCTCTCTCTCCCATTTTTTTTTTTAGAATTATTCTTAAAGAAATAATCTTGAAACAGGGAAGATGTATGTATGTGTAATATTTCTTATAGTGGTATTCATTAGAAGTGAAACATTTTAAACAATCCTTATAAACGTGTAAAATGAAGAACCTGTTAAATAAAGTACGATACAGCAACTTATAGAATATTCTTCAGCCATTTAAAAGGTAATTATGAAGCTCGTGCAACAGTGGCAGACTTGGTTCATAGTCCACAAAACGTTATGATACCGTTCCACAGTACAGAGCTGATGCTGAGGAGCAGCTGCCCTGCCAGGGTCAACATCTTCTGGTACCTACATGTGGCCACATGATTAGTTTTCACAATGAGTGATAAATTAGTGTGAGAATGAGAACAGAATGTGTGTTTCTTCTGGGATAAGGATGTTAAGAAGCAGATATGCTTTCTCAACACTGCTTATTTCCCCTTCTACAGACTCAATACAGGTGACCGTGTGGCTCTAGGAGATGCCAGAGCCACAAGATGGAAGGAACCTGGCTGGGTCTGTGCCTCACTGAATAGAAAAGAGTCTTTGCCCACCACCAGGAACATCCACAGTGGACTATTATGTGAATGAGAAATAAGCTTCTCTTATTTTTAAGGCAATAAAAATTGCCTACATTACAGGTTTATTTGCTGTAACAACTTACATGTTCTTAAGAGTTAGAGAAGGAACAGACAATGCTTTAATGCAAAATAAAAAATGCAGAATAGGGGAGGAGACCCAAGATGGCAGAGTAGATAAACACTGGGCCTACTTCCTTCTGTAAACACATTAAAATTACAACTAAATTATAGAACAATCAACCTGGAGAACCATCTGAAGTCTGACTGAACAGAATTTTTATAACTAAGGATATAAAAA